TGGCTAAAAAAATTATGAACAACCTCTCATAATCATTGAGTAAATTCATCCTCGATTCTTCTAGCTAACAACATCGGTGAGACTCGATATTGCAATCTAACTAAGATTTAGGAATTTGGGTATTAAAATTTATGGATTTTAATATTGAGATTTAGAGATTTGAGGCAACAATTAGGGATGTTCGATAATAGGTATTAAAATTTATGGATTTTAAGCTAGTAGTTTTGGGTTTACCCAAGAGGTATGTGGGCCTCAAGAGTTTCATAATTGAAGTTGCTGGTCCAAGTGTGGGCTTAATTGGATGAGGATTGGGTCCAATTAACCATAAAAAGGGATATTTGTATAGTAAAAAGATGAGAAGAGAAAAAAAGCATAATTATCTTATTTTTAAAAGATGTGAGTTTTCATCTTTTTCATCTCATTCTTCTCTTCATTTCCTTCATTTCATTCTCATTTCTTTCTCCAATTTTTTCTCCTAGTCTTTATGTTTAGAATCTCATAACTTTACTTTTTGGCTAGAGAAAGAGGGTGTAAATCATCTTAGTTCAAGAATAGTGGAAGGAAATAAATTTTGTTATGAAATGAGCTTCATTTCAGGGTTTTTATCATCAAGGTAGTATATTTCTAATCCATTTTAGTGTTAAGGCTTTCATAAGCATGATGATTTATTAAGATTTGAGTATTTGAGTATTTTAGGGTTTATGCTTGATTTCATGATTAAATGGCATTCTTAATGTAATTCATGTGTTTTTATGACATTTTATGACCCTAAATGACTTTCTTAAACTTCAGCACATTATTATGAATCAAGCTAAGAACCTTGAAATGATTTTTGGGTGTTTCTCGATCTTAAACAAGGCATTTCTGGGTTCAAATATCGATACTAGATAAACAATATCAATACTGGATAAATTGGGATGAAATCTAGGCATTTCTAATAAGGAGTATCGATACTAAGGGGGAGAGTATCGATATTTCCCCTATAGTATCAATATTGTGGGTACCTTGTATCAATATTGGGCCAATTTTCAGTAAACAAAAGTCATTTTTACTACCGATACGAGGGTATCGATACTACCCACTTTGGGCGGTTATATTTGACCTTGTTAAGTCACGTAAGAGTTAAAGATGATCTGTAATGATGGAACTTAGACCATGAGGGACATAAATGATCAAAGGTGCCTAAAAACACTCGTTGGAGAGGGTACAACTGAAGTAACCATACCAACCGTAATGCGTCCAAGTATCTTCAGTCGAGCACATATCGAATAATTAAGAACGAGGACAATTACAAAGGATGTAACACCAAGTGGTACGATAAGTAAGCTGGATTAAGTAATAACGAAGTCGTGTACTTCAGAAATGTTAGTGAATCAAGAATGTATAAGACGTCCCTCCAATTCAATGGGTATTGAAGAGAAGTGCAATAAGAGCGACTAGAGTGTTGCTACCCAGTAATGAACCCGATTCAAGTATCGAACTAACTAGTATTATAGGTAGTGAACAAAAAACACAATAATCATTGTAAAATCATGAAATGCATATAGACCTCTTTATAGACAAAAATGACTAAAATACCCTTAAGTGTTAATGGCTAGAATAAAGCAGTTTAATAAATTATTAGAAATAACATACTACTAACCTTCATATAACGTTTTAGATGAGAGAACGAGCGAGATATCAGCTAATAAAACTGATGACTTTACCTTAGTACGTCGAGCTATACTAGTGTGTGGCGAGGCTACCTCAGTTGCCCTAGTGGGGCATTGTTAGTGGAGTGTAGCTAGGCTACCTTAATTGCCCTCGTCAGGCATTGTCAGTATTTTTTGGACTTGGGCCCTTAGTAATGTATAGTTGCATCAGTCTAGTACATCAAATATCCTCATAGCTTAGCTTGACGACTGTGTGAGACTAAGTTAATGCTTTAGTTGAGCGAGAATTGTACCAATGTTATGTAATACCGAGTTCCCCTCCATGATCTACCTAATGGCTATGTGAGATTAAAAGATCATTCATCAGCTTAGTGGGAATTCTATCGATGTTATGTGACACGGGGTTCCCTCAATTAACTAGTGTTCGATAGTTATGTGAGACCAGATACTAGAAAAGTGTTGCATTCATATAATGCATATCAATGTTAGTGTTGCATTCAAATACTGCACAATAGTGTCAATGTCGTATTCAAATAATGCATACCAGTTACAGTCATTATGGTTAAAAACTTAATAGAGGTGTACTCATGGTGACTTAGCAGAGGATTAAAGGAAACATGAGACTCTAACTTCAGTAATAAAACAGTAAAATCTTAAGTAGGTAGCACTTGATTAAGATCATGAATGTACCTACTGCTTAGTATCATATCTTTAGCATGCTTATGTTTATGAGACACATAATGTTGTTCTAGATTAGCGATTATACTGTTGGGATTTGTAAGCTCAATGTTCAGATATTTTCCAATCGTAGGTTATTAGCTTGAGTTGTTCATAGAGCATCGTCGCAACATGACTTCCAGCATCTCCCTTAAAATATTGATTGTAGCTTTAGTGGGCATGTGTATTCATAGGACCCTTATTACTTTATTCAGATTTTATAACCTTGAGTTGTATTATTTTGATTTTAAACTGTGTCACAGAGTTCCGATTTATAAAAGTATTTTTATAATTGTCATGTATGTCTAATTTGGTACCATTCAATATGTTTTAAAAAGAAAATAAATAGTATTTAAAAACAATGGTTGTCTCGGAAGCCCAATGTGATACTTTAGGCCTAATTGAGTTTAGGGTTTTACAAGGATGTCAGTGGCAACGATTGATGCTTTGGAATTAAGGATTTTGAGACTTTTTCTTTTTTTGAGATTTTAGCAAAATTTTGAGATATTTTTTTTAAAAATAATAATAATTTGAATTTTTTAAATAAGTTTTTAAAAATTTATAAATGTGTCACATGTCACGTTTTGAGTGGTTGAGAATTTTTTTTAATATATGTTACGACTTAAAAACTTAAAATAATAGCATTGATAACATTAGACACCAATATTGATCTAGAAAAAAATACTTAAATGATAAAAGAGGTACAATTTGGTGAATTTTTTATTAAGCTTTTAAAAAATAGGATAAAGTACACAAATATCCCCGAATATAGGGTGTTGCTTTATTGATTCCTCTTACTAATAAAAGTTAACAAATGGTCATCCAACTATAGGAAGTTGTTTTGTTGAGTCCATCGACTATTAAAAGTTATAAAATGATCATCTGACTATTATATGTTCTAAACTTGTCATTTTCTATTAAAAATTTGACGGTAGTATGAGTTGTACGTTAACATGATGGCTGAGATATGATGGTCATTTGAGATTATAGGATCATATTTTATCATATCTCAATCAATATGTTAATATACAACTCATATTGTTGTTAATTTTTTAATGAAAAGATATGCGTTTGAAACATATAAATAGTCAAGTAACCATTTTTTACTTTTAATAGTCGAATGCTAAACAAAACAATATCATATATTTAAAAAGTTATTTTATAATTTTTAATAATTAGAGACACTATAAACTAACGTCCTATGGTTATGAGAACATTCCTAACCTTAAAAATAAGAAACACAACAGTTATTTTAATACATTTAAGATCACTACTTACCTTGAACTTTGCCTCACCTTAACAACTAGGGCTGGCAAATCCAAAGAGAAACACGTTTTGCCACGATCGGAAGTGTTTTCTGTTACTCCCTTTTCCGTTAATTGAAGAAAACGAAACCCAAAAAAAAAAAAGGAAGAGGCAACAATGCATTGCTTTCCAAAATGAAATTAATCCAATTAATTAATGTAAAATCATGTCAGATAAATCACAAGACTGTTTTCCATTTCGATTCCAAACCAAAACAAGGGAAAATGGCCTCCAATCGTTCCTTCGAAGCCGAGATCGGACCCGATGGATTCCCTAGGGAATCTCCTGTCATCACCTACACTGAGAAGGTCACTTCTCTCTCTTCTCTCTTCTCTCTTCTCTCTTCTCTCTTCTCTCTTCTCTCTTCTCTCTTCTCTCTTCTCTCTTCTCTTAGTGTTTCGTGATTGCTTTGGTCAAAAACTCATGGCCAAATTTTTTTTAATTCCTGTGGCGGCAGATAATCGAGGAAAAGCGGGTTCAAGTCAAGAAGTATGTTCGTGTTCTGACTTTTAAATTTATATTTTTGGATATGTGCATTATTTTGAGTGGTGATTTTTTCACTTGTACGGCTTCAATTGGTGTAAACCTGGCCAGTATGGACGATTCTGTTCAATGCTGGGATTTAGTTCATTAACACCACCAAGGAAAGTGTTCTTCTAAGCCTGCTGTGCACGTCTTTACGTTCAAATATGTAGAGAGAAAAAAAACAGGAAGGATGTATAGACAAATATGTGTTTTCTATAAATGGTTAGCCTTTGAAGAATTACCTTAAAGCATACTGTAATTTAAATTTAGAGAGATAAGAGCTTGTTTGTGCTTCTGCATAAAGTTGGTTTTCAAATGAGTTTGATACTACTTAAAATAAAACCTAAATCTTAATTGATTCAATGTTACTGCTTTATTAAGTCGTATTATTCGGGTCTGAAATATTCAATTTTGCACATGATTATGAAACTCTGCCATTTCTTTTGTGTCTTTAAATTTAGGATTCTCTTTTACTCAATTAACCAGGTTTAAGAGAGCTTTGCTTGTTTATTTTCTTGGGTTCAGTTATTAGAATTTAACAATTTATAGTAAATAATTCTGTTTGTATCTAGGAATTTTATCATCCAGTGTGTAGCGTTTGATTGTAAAAAGAAAGGCTGAAAGAAGATCATGCCTTCTAAAGTTGCCTTTTCTCTTCTTATAAATGTTCTTTCCGTTTGTTTCTCATGACTTGATTTGTTGGGGATTTTATCTAATCTCTTTTGATTCATACTTTCAGATATATAGAAGAAAATTATTCTAAAATCCGTGATTTTGAAAGAGAACTAGCAAATATTTACAATGGAGATTAAACTCACTGCTGGGCCTAAAAAAGCAGGTTGATGTTTTGTTGCGTGTCTGAAATATTTCTTTATTTATGTGAATTTTTCTAAAAAGAAGTGATTCTTACTTTGCATAATGTGTGGTACATACCTTCAGCCCTTGAAAATATGAGAAAGAAAATCGAAATGTCACTGAGAGAATACGTAGTGCCAAGCAGAAGGAAGAACAAGCACGAAAGGTTTGTTGCATTTTCTCTCTTTCTCTCTCATCCTAGTGTAAGTGTCTTGCATCAGCCTTGTACTATCTCGTCTTTTCTTGATCGAAGTAGAGTTGTCATTTTTATAGTTTTACCTGATTAGGACAGAGGTAGTAAGTTGATTGGGACTTGAGAGGTCAAATCATAAATTTTTTTACATGAAAATCCTTACCATGCAAAGGTTAAGATGATAACACTGCAAAGGTCAAATCATTATCATAGTTCTGCCTGCTTAGGGCAGAGGTAGTAAGTTGATTAGTGTTTCTGCCTGGAATTGTAGATTGATGTAGATTCTTGGATTTACTTATACATAATGGTTTGTGTTATGAACCCGAGTATGGGATCGAATGATTGGACGATGAAAGGGAATTCTAAGGGAGTAACCTACCACAAATTACTGAAACGCAACTTTTTTTATTCCTTCGTAATCTCCCTCTTAAATAAAGGTAACAAGCTTAATAGATTAACTCAAAGTAATAGATAACTAGGAATTAAATAAAAAAATTATAGGGATAAAATCATAATAGCTACTAGATAAACTTGGCAAATAAGATAAAATAATAAATAAAGATAAAAAAAAGTCAGAATCAGAATCCTAATTGATTTCAGACTCATCCCAATGTGACTTATTGGGTCTAGGATACTGCTGACTCTGTAACAGGTTGTATTTGAATTAATTAAGGCCTAAATTGATTTTCTTGGACCTGCTGAAGGTTTCTGAATAATGTTTCAGTTTCTTTTGCAATATATTTTATTAGCAAGTATATTGCCTCTTGGCTTATTTGTATTTTAGACTTGGGAAGCGGCAGTGAAGGCGTTGAATGATGAGGAAGCAATGAAGCAGAAGTTATGTGAGGACTTAAAAAATCTGGTATATTTCTTTACTGTAGGTGGATAAGCATGCATTAATGCCCTGTGCAATAATTTGATACTGTTCATTTGATAGGTTCAAGAGAGCTGTAACTCTCAGTTTGCTCGACTTGATGAGTTGAAAAGGCGGCTGGAATCTCTGAACCCAAGCAGGTCTCCCAGGTTGTCTTGTCATGTAAGATTTCCTTTTATTCCTTATTATTACAAGAAAAGTTGTTCATGAAGTATCCAATACTTATATGGTGTTCTATGATAGGTTCTTTAAAACAGTCATTGAAATAAGCATGTCATCTGGTGAAAAATGGTTTTCGTTTACTGTAGGTTCTGATTCTGATTTTCTATCGCTGATCCATTTCTGCATTCACTGTTATAAGCTGGATTGATAAGGAGGTGTCGCATCGAAATGGAAAAGATATCCATGTGTGCTCATTTACAAACTCAAGTTTCCTTACCAACCAGTATAGTCCTTGTTGATTATTTGTTAATGTTTGGTTCCCTTAGTCATTTGTTCTACTAATCAGACCAAGTTGCCACTTATCCGTAACAATAAAATAAATGAATGGGAAAAATGAAGTGAGATTGAAGTCATAAGTTGCCGATCTTTCTGAGATCATGTTTGTTCTTATATAAAAAGTTACTCTGGAGTATCTAATTTGTTTCAAGAATGCCTGCAACAATTCCCTGGTTTACTCACCCAGGACCTTTTTGTTTGCCTTTTATATGTTTGTTGTCATAGAAAGATATTTGAAAGATTTCCCTTGGCTGTACTGTTTCCGACAATGCACCTAATGTAGATAATAGTGGAAATGTCACAGCAATTAATGCGAAGAATCAACTGTCCACGAACGATGGAGAAGTAAAAGGAAAGAAGAAGACTCGTTATCATGGAAGAGGTAAAGGGATCGGTGCCGTGCCCAAGGGTAGAGGATCTGCAGCACCCGGGTGGACAGGATCGGGGTCCGACGTGGATGGTAGAACCTAGAAGAAGCATATTTCAGATCTTCTCTATTCTTTGGTGAAGGATCAAGAGGACAAAGCATCACAAGCCTTTCACCCCTGTTATTTCTTGATCATATCTGTAACCTTATAACTTGTTGATATGAATGATGCCATTTGGCTTTTCTTTCTTATTACCGGAATAGATGAGTGCCTGTTGCGTTCGGTTCACGGAATGTAAGATTATCAGTGGGAATAAAAGATTATTAAGGAATAGGATTACTGAGAATGTTGTATTTTGTGTTTAGTTGGTTTAGCAGGAATTTAAGATTACCGTGTTTGGTTAAAGGAATAAAAGATTATTGGAATGTATATTTGACCAACTTGTCCTTATTATATTTTTGTTTTTTTAACAAGTTGAAAAATATTTATATATTTTCTTTAAAAAATTAAATTCATAAAATTTATATATATATATTTTTTACAAAATTGAAAAATATAAAAAGGTTTAATGTAATGGTAAAATTTTATTTTAACCCCTGAATTTCATAGAAAATTTTAATTATAGATTTTTTTTGTAAATTTAAAATAGTTTAAGGATAAATTTGTAATTTAACATTTGTAGAATTTTTATTAATCAATGACAGAATAAGGATATTTAAAAAAAAATTAAGGACATTTTAGTCCAAAACGCCAATAATCCAACAATACCTAAGGAAAAGGAGGTAATGACATTCCCGGTAATATACCCAAAAAAAAATTCACTATTGATAATGTAAGATTACCGGGAATAACATTCTCGACCAACCAAACGGGAGAATGTGGATTCCATTCCCATGGGAATCTCACATTCCCCCAACCAAACACACCCTTATAATTGTCTTCAAGTAGTAAATCATTTAGAATTCATCATGAATGTACGTTTGCTCGCCTTCTTTTCAATTTTGTTTAGTTTTGATCACCAAATTTGAAAAAATATATACGAGTCACTTATGTTATCGATTTATAATATTTCAGTCAAAATTAAACTTTGAGGTGTAAGTTTAACTTTGAAACAAATAGTCTTTAAAATTGAATAAATCATAAAATTTAAAGGAGTTTTGATTTTATTTCATTAATTTTAAAATTGAAGTGTCTTAAAGAGTAATTAAGGCCAAAGAATTAGAAGTCAAGCATAGTATATTTTTTTTATAGAAGTCGTTAGTTTTATTAAAAAAATATCTTGAATTACAATAAATGTTTACAATCATAATTGTGAATTAATCACATAATTAGACTATTTTTCTTATAATTATTAACACAAAAACTAGTCACTTAAGATCACATAAGGACCATACAAGGAAAGGTTAAAAAAACCTAATAAAAAACTCGAACAAATATAGATACAAACAGATCTAATTACAATGACAATGAACCACAAAAGGGGATTAAGCTATTAAAAGACTGTCGACAAATCATTGCTTACATTCATATCGAATACAGCTGCAAATGAGGTGCTCAATCAGGATCTGAATAACGGTTCGTTATTGGAATAGCAGACGTTATATAATATAATGTTATTGCATGATCGTGATACTTGTAATTATCACAGTAGTACTTACTATGTCTACAATCGCAATAAACATAATACAACCGAAAATGTGACCGCAGCTGCAATTTAAATATTTGAGCCTCGTTTTTCCCATAATCATTTTTATATCTATAATTTTCAGACACTTTATACTAGGTAGTTAACAAAGAAAAAAGTTGAGATCTAAATTGATATTTTGTTTAAATTTTAGTGATTAAATTAAAAATAATGTTTTACTAATATTTCACATCATCAAGATAATGATAATTAACAGCCAATGATCGAAATATAATAAATCGATTATGTAATGGATTAAAACATTTTTTCAAATTATATTGTCAAAACTAAACAAAGTTAAAATAAATGAAACCAAGCTTGTAATTTACCCTAAAACTTAAAATTTTTCTATAAATCTAAGGTAAGTACAAAAAAAAATATTTGTTCAAAGATAACTATCAACCAATTGATATTTAACGCTTATACCCTAGCATTCCCGACGCTCGAACCCATGACCTCAAGTTATAATAACAATTATTTACCATTGAGATCGCTTAATTCGTATCCTAAAACTTAACTTGGTTTTACTAATTAAGCAACATGAATTATGGGCTTCATCTAATTATCCATTTAACGTTTATACCCTAGCATTCTCGACGCTTGAACCCAGGACCTCAAGTAATAATAAAAATTATTTACCATCGAGATCGCTTGATTCGTACCCTAAAACTTAACTTTGTTTTACTAATTAAGCAACATGAATTATGTGGGCTTCATCTAATTATCCATCCATCTCAAGAATCTTCTTTTATTTTACTTTTTTTCATTTTGGCCCACCAAATTTGAACTTTATAAAGTTAGGATTTCACTCCCATACATTATATATTCCTTATTAAATTAGATTATCAGACTTGACAATATTAATTTTTAAGGGTTCAAAATAAATCCTTTCGTAGTTATATTTAATTTCAAATTTTAATTTTCTCTATATAAATATTATCATAATCCAAATTCGTTTGGGCCTGAATTTAAGGTTCAAATATTAACCCGAGGCCTAAATCAGTTCACCCAAACCCACCAATCCTGCCTAACCCCAGGCCTATATTTGTCCTTTTCTTAAAGTACATTATCTATATAGTCGGTGGTCTTATTTTTAAATCATACTTAATATTACATGTAATTTTTTTTTATTTTGATCATCTATTATTAAAAATTTAACAACGATGCTAATATAATATTTTTAAATATTTGTTTTAGTTTTCATATCATCGTCTCTATAGTCTTGAGTTTGAACTTTGGGTTCAATTAGAGATAATCATTTTTGTGGGGGCAATATGATCTTTGGTAGGGAATTTTTGTAACTTTAGTATATATATTCTCATGTCACCACTTTATTGGTTGAAAAAATTATTAAAAAATATCATTAGAGGTTTATTGACTATAAAAGATACGATGATGTTGAATTAAAAAATATTTAGAAAAATATCATATCATGTCAAATTAGTATCATCATTAATTTTTTAACGAAGGGTGACCACATAGAAACATAATGTTGGGTATGATTTTACAAAAAATAATAGTTAGATGTCCAAAACAAAAACAAAGTAATAGATGGGTAACTAAATAGGTAGTTTTCCTTTAAAAATGCAATCTAGTGACTCAAAATGTAGTTTTTTTAAAGTGGGTGAAGAAATGTAATATTACTAATAGCTAAGTAGCTATGATTGTAGTTTACCATTAATTTGTTGGTTACTTATTACAGTGTAGAAGAGTATTTTCGTCAATGGCGGAGGCAGGAACAAAGAAGAGAAAATTAGGGGACAGAACCAAAGCCAGAACAACGGCAAAGTGGCCTTTCGTTAAACCCAAACTCGAACTCCAGGTTACTCGCCTTCAAGACAACGATCTTTTCACCGTACGTTTATCTTGAATTCCATTTCAGCTTCGATTTCGACTTTTTCCATTGCAATCTGAAATACGAAACATGTTCCTTTTTTATTGACAAGAAATGAAATATGAAAATATGCTTAAGTCATTGTCGAATTATGTGTTGAAAGAGTTCAAATTTTGTAGTGCCTTATAGCTATATTTGGATTCATATAGGCAGTGAAATTCTACTTTGACATGCTCGATGTACAAGGCTCAAGACTCGAACCTGTCAGTAGAAAATGATTTGGAAATTAGGGATGCTAACAATATGATTTGTAACTTCATTAAGCATTAAAGTTTTGGTCGCGGCAATAACCTAGTGAATTTAGTGGTTAAAGAGATAGTTGTTATCCTTAGAGTTCCCGGATTTGAACATGACGTGAGAGGTGTTTGAGTGTTCATTGTCAAATGGTTGAGTCTTTTGAGCATATGATACCTTGTAATCATCTCAGATTAATCAAAAAAAGGTTTTGGTCTTGAATCTAAACTCGTATAAGTTAGAAAAAAAAAGTTGCTCTCCAATGGGAAATGATCTTGTTGAAATTCATGGATGGTGATGATTTTACTGATTTTAAGACACATGCAGGTGCAGAATTTCTTCACATCTGCTGAATCAAAGGGATTTATTAGAACTGCAGAGTCAATTGGTTTTGAGCACCAAGGAGGTCTTGGTCCGGCAAAAGGCGAAGCCTACCGAGACAATGACCGAATATCTGTTAATGATCCTAAACTTGCAGACACTATATGGCAGTCTGGACTTGGCCGATTATTCTCTGATATTAAAATTAGGGGGAAGGTTGCTGTTGGCTTGAATCCCAATATTAGATTATACCGGTAACTTCATCCCCCCCCCCCCAAAAAAACATTAAATCCATGCTTACTTTTATTTGAATAAATGAATAGCATAATCAATTGCCTGAAATACTTCTTGAAGTGATAACTTGCTTGGACTATAAATGATTATGATGTGTGCTGAAAGCCTGAAGGTATCTCATCCATTTGACTGAATAATACACTTTGAAGTGTACATTGAAACTGAACTTTTATTTTTTTTTATGAATTTCCATGCATATTCTACTTCAGGTATAAGGTTGGTCAGCGTTTTGGACGGCATTTTGACCAAAGTGTTGATCTTGGAAAGGGAAAGCGCACCCATTATACATTATTGATATATTTAAGTGGCGGGCCCGAAACCAAAGGTAAAAGTGATTCAAACAACTCGAAGGATTCTGAATCAGAGCCTCTAGTTGGAGGGGAGACTGTCTTCTATGATTCATGGAATGGTGTTGCAGCAGAGGTAAACGCCTTTGAAACTTTTATCATTTTGCTTTTGTTGTTTCCCCCTTTCATTTTGTTTTTATCTTTTTCGAATTCCTATTGGATTGGCCGTATGACTTGCTGTGGGATATCCTTTATTTACGTAACGTTAGCTCTGCAGGTTGCTCCTGCTGAAGGAATGGCTCTCCTACACATTCATGGTGACAAATGCATGCTGCATGAAGCTCGAAATGTCTCCAAGGGTATCAAATATGTTTTCAGATCAGATGTGG